CCCCCCCCGTCGTATGTTCCCCAGAGGCGCGGGGGGGACGGAAATCGCGGCCCCGGGCAAAGGTGTCCCAACCGGGTCAGTCGGGGGTCGCAGGGAGGTTCACAGGGGGTTTGGGGGCTCACACGGGGGGGGGATGCACTGTCCAACAGCCCCCCCGTGCCAAGCCCTCGTGCGAGCCCCCCCCTCCCCGGCTCATTCCTACCTCTGGCCCCTTGTGTCCCCGTCACCCTCCAGAGGGGGTCCCACGCTGCTGGGGGTCCCAGGTGTCGGGGGGGTCCCAGGCAGGCCGGACCCCCCCGCTTGCACAGGCTGCAGCGGCTCGAGGGGCCAAGGGCGGCCGTGCCCCCGCCCTTCCCCTCCGCCGCTTCCTCCCGCCACGGTGAGCCCGGGGGGGGGCCGGGGGGGCTCCGGCAGCCCAGGGCACCCCCCTGACCCCCCAACCCATCCCTGCTCCCCCTCCCCACGTGGGCAGCCCAGGCGTCCGGTGCCCCCCAGGCGATGCCCCCCCCCCCCAGTGTGGCGGGAAAACGACAAAAACGACTTTTTGAACTGTTATCAGGTTTTATTTATTAATTTATTTGTACCAACCCCAAACCCCGCTAAACCAACAAAACCCTACTGAGAACCAGCAAAAACGAGAGAAAGAGCCCAGCCTTCCCCAGGATCCCCCCGTGAAAGGTCCCAGAGCCCCTGTCAGAGATCAGGTGCCCCCAAATCTCACCATGAGGCTGTTTAGCCCCCCTAGCCCCCCCGGTTATGGCCAGGACAAGCCCCCCCCAGCCCTCTGGAGCCCCTTAGTTATGGGGCAGGACCCCCAAGTTTCCCACTATAGGGCAGCACCCCCCAGTGCCCCCCCAAACATCCCAGTTATAGCACTGCCCCCCCCCAGACCCCCCTGCTCTGGGGTCGGCCCAACCTCCACTCTCCTCCCAAGGGGGTCTCCCCTGGCCCATCGCCCTCAGGGCCCCCTCTCACCCCCCGAGGGGAGTCACTGGTGGCTGAGGGGGTCTCAGGGGGCCTCAGGGGGCTGGGGGGGGCTCAGGGCCATGCACAGGCTGCTGGGACCCCTACCCTGGGGGGGTGTTGGTGGGGGGCTGCCAGGCGGGACCTCCCCCTCTACACCGACTGCCAGAGGGCTCTCTGGGGCTGGGGGGAGTCCGAGGGTCAGCGGGACCCCGGCAGCACCCCCAGCCCCCCCGCAGCTCCCCTCTCTCAGCCCCTGTGCCTCCCCCAGTCCCCCCCCCGCATCGGGGTGCCCCCCCCCCGTGGGGGGGCCGCGGCACAGATGCTCCCGGTCGGCGGCGGTGATGATGCCACTGGTGCCGCTCCAGAGCTCTGGGGGGGTACGGGGGGATTTAGTGGGAGGGGGACATATCCCAGGGAGGGCCTGAGGCCCGCGGGGGTCCTGGGGCTGCTCACCACCCATCCTGTCCGTGTCCAGGTGCGGCAGCAGCTCCTGGGAGGGTACACACGCACGGGGTCTTGTGGGGGGCACAGGGGGGCCCCGAGCCCAGGTGGCGTCCCCGCACCCCCCCCACTCACCGAGAGCTGGTTGAAGCCACAGAGTTCAGGGGGGGTCGCACGCGGCCACCGGAGCACCGAGAGCTCCAGACCCCCCCCAGGGAGCCTGGGGGTAGAAGTGAAGGGGGGTACGAGAGGACCCCAACTCCCCATCCCGCCCAGCCCTCCCAGGGTACCACAGACATACAGGGTGCCCCCCCGACCCCAAAATATGCTGCAGGTGACCCTGAGACCCCTCCCATGGCCCTCAGGAGCTCCACCCCCAGCCCTTGGGGACCCTCCACGTCCCCCCCCCAGCCTTCCCCAGATCCATCACTGCCCCCCCAGCTCTTACAGCCCCCCCGGAGCTGTCTCCCACCCTCACATGCTTCTGTCACACCCCGAATCCACCTCGGGGGGGGGGTTTCCCCTTCCCGGCCCCCCCCAGGACCTGTCACTGCCCTCCAAGAGGGGCCACACAGCTCCCCTGCCCCCCCGATCCCCTTGAGATCCCCCAAACTCACCCGGGGGGCCCGTCGCCCTCCTCAGGGCTACGGGGGGGCAGCAGAGCGGCCGCCCCCCCCTCAGGGTCCCCCTGGAAGCCCCCCCGGTCGAGCTGCGCGTGGAGCCGGAACGTCACGGCCTTGACGGCCCCGAAAAACGCGGCCACGACCCCGCAGTACAGAGCGGCCACGGCGGGGGTGGGCGGCAGCGCCTGCAAACGGAGGGGTCAGGTCCCCCAGGACAACACCTGACCCCCAGCGGAGCCCGAGGGTCCCCAGCGCCCCTTCCTGGCCCCTTCCCCGCACCGAATAGAGCCCAAGGGGCAGCCCGAGCAGGAACAGCCACACGTAGAGCCGGACGCAGTTGGCGAAGGCGCCGAGCTGCGGGTCCAGGAAGCAGCCGCCGGTCAGCGAGGCCCAAACGCCCTGGCGGAGCACCTGCAACGCCGCCGCCGCCGCCCCCGCCATGGCGGCCCTGGGGCCTCCCAGGGGATCCCCAAAGGTCCCCGGGACCCCCTGGGACCCCCAGGCCCGTCGCCGCTTCCGGGTGCGCCCCGGCGCCGCCGGCGCGCGCAAGTGACGTCACGAAGAGCGGTTCTCGGCGCGACGGGCAAAAGGGGAGGACACGCCCCCTCCCGCCCTCATGGCGGGAACTGGCACGCGCGTGCGCACCGACGGACACGCCCCCTCAGCGCCCGGGGAGGGCGGGGCCGTTGAGCCGTGGGCGGGGCCAAGCCCGGTTGTTCCCCCGCGGGCCGGGACGGTGAGGGCGCCCCCCAGTGGCAGCACCGACCGCGGTCCCGGGGGGTCCCCGCGCCGTGGGGGAGACACAGACACGGGACCCCCGGGACCCCCCGGGACCTGGGTCCGGCCCCCCCGCCGGCC